CTTTTAAATTTATTTACCTCAATGTAAATATACTATCTTCTCAATTGAATGGCCATATGAAATATCAACAGTTGATTCAATTTCGAGTCAACTTCTCTTCAAATACCGCAATATCCAAGTAGTCAGTTGAGAATGCAAGTGAGAAGACTCTTTGCCGGTAAGCTTTATTTAAAGCAAACTTGCATTATTATTTAAGTGTTTTATGCTGTAAATAAAGTATAACAGTATTGTGTATACCCCCTGCATTACATTTCTATTACTTAGCACGTGTTTTTGATTATGCGGACTTTTTGATTATCCAGAATATTTGATCAATCGGCAGTCCCATAGGTGCCAGATAATAAGAGGTTTACTGTATTTGTAGTGTTTAACATTGTTATTACTCATCACCATTTTCACCATTTGTCCACTTCCTATCTCAAAGCCAAATCTCAACGATCAAGAAAATCTGGAAATCTGTCAGTGTCTACCGATCTGGTTTACTTGAGTTTGACACTAGATTGATGCTGTTGTATGAAGGATTTAGAGGGATATGGGTCAAATGCTGGCAAATGGGACTAAATGAATTTAGGATATCTGGTCAGCATGGAAGAGTTGGACCAAAGGGTCCATTTCCATGTTGTACAACTGTACAACTGCAAAACACTATGATCTGAGACAAGACGTCTTGCTACAATTACTAGTCTTGGTGTAACCACACCTGGGAATATTATGTATAATTTTGATCTCCATACATTAGAAAGGATATACCTGCTACAGAAGGAATGCAATCAAGTTTCAACTAGCTGTTTCCCAGAATTGTCTTAAGGAGGGATTGAGGAAACTGGGTCTGTATTCTCTAGAATTTTGAAGAGTGTGAGGTGATCTTATTCAAACATACAAAATTCTTTCAGGGCTTGACAGGATGGATGGAGGAAGGATGTTTCTCTTGGATAGGGGTCTATAACCAGGGGATATAGTCTCAGAAAAAGGAGCAGACCATTTAAGACTGAGCTGAGGAGAATTATTTTTCATTCAGAGCTTGGTGAATTTTTAGAATTCTTTTCATTTGAGAGTTTTTAAACGCAGTCATTGAATGTGGCAAAGACTGAAATCAATAGATTTCTAGACATTAAAGTCATCGAAGGAAATGGCTTTGAAGTAGAAGATCAACCACAATCTCATTAAATGGCAGAGTAAACAAATGTGAAAGACCTAATGGGCTACTTCCATTCCTACTCCCTATATTCCAATATTCCATGTAAAATACTTTGTGCATCCTAAAGTGCCGAAAAGTGTTATATAAATCCAAATCTTTATTTTCTTTCTTTATCACATCAACGTACTTCAGTCTTAACAGCAACATTATTTCAATAGTAACAAGCCATTTTGGGTAAATTTAATCATGTTAAATTTTGGACTAGAATAAAAAAAACATATTATGCCTCTACAAAGAGAAAGTGTTCAGTAAATGGACAAACATTTCCATGTAGATTCATGTTAAACAATCCAAGTTTTCATTTTAAGATAAATTATCCTTCTTCTGAATGGTACTCCTTTCTGCAATTCTATCATTACTTACATATTACAATTCAAGATGTACAATGCTCATAAACATATACATAAATTAGCTTTATAAATGTAACTTCCATGCGTCATCTCCCTGGAGCTGATCCTATCTTTGACCTTGAGCTTCATATTTGAGCTTTGCTTCTATCTTTCTCCATATGTCATAATGTATAATGTTGATTTACTGACAAAAGGAATTTAAGATGACCTAGTTAGCACGATTTGTCCTTCCACTGTCATCTTCGTTTTCTTTGTCAATCTAACATGCCCTGGAGTTTTCATGATCTCTTTGCCGCGTTTCTGCTTCCTATTCATGCACTTTCAATATTGTAGGCTGTACACATTTTAAAATACTCATGTGTTTTCCTCTCTTCTACACCCTAGGTTTTGTTTTACTGTGATGTTTCCAAACCTTTTGTGTTGGGAATAACCTACAGATATTAACATTGTCCAAGGTTCCTCATTCTTCAACTTCTGAGAGACCTGAATTTATTTGTACTCTGGGCCTGTGTGTTTGCCTTTAACAGAATGTGTTACCTGATGTGGCAAAGCTTATGCTATTTCCTACGGCATAAGAAACTGGGTCTAGATATTCTGGTATTAAAAAATCTAACAGAAATGTATTACAATGAACTATTATGTACAAACATAAATGCCTGGGCTAATATTAGGTTACAATAGAGAAGCCTGTTTCCAGTGTCAATGCACTGAATTAGTGGTCTACTGTACAATCTGTGATGGTCTCGTGTAGGCTGTTCCATGGATCACCACTTGCTGAGTTCCATGTCTTTCAGGACACTTAATGGTAATATCATGGAACTAGCTTCCATGTGGATTTTAGCTCTTGTGTGCTGTCCTGCCCTTTCAGGATATATGACATTAATGGTTGTAAACATTTCTGACCACATTACACCATTAACATGCTGTATGAAATTTATGATGTGGAAAACTTGGTCATCTTCTGAAATTAACTTGGTGACTCTAAACCTGATTGATGTGTTTGCATTTGTGCACTTTGTTAAAATTTTCCTTGTTGCCAATATTGTACCGTCTTTTGGTCACCTGTGTTTTCTTCTGAGGTTTGACTTGACCTTTGGAACCAGAGTTCCTGGGCATAATTGTCCAATGTCCTTTGGTGTCACATGTTTTACAGGTATCAAGAAAAGCTGAACAGCTTTTGGCTAGGTGCAACAAACAACATCTGTTATCGATTTTGTTGGTTAGGTACACTTGCTGACTATAGTAAAAGTGTTAACTTCACCTAAAGCATGTAATTATTGTTGGTCTGTCACTATGGCTTCATTGTGTCCATCCTCAAGTAGTATGTCATTAAAATGGCCCTTTTGTCTTTCCCAAAAGGTCCTTCCTAAAGGCTTTAATTGGTGTAGAAGTGATGACGAACGCAATGAGTCTCTCTGATACTTGTTCTTCAGAAAAATCACACATATGCCCTTTGTTCCTGCAGTGTCTGAAGAACTGGTCAATAAATTATGGATTTGCTGTTTGTTTGACATGAATTGGATCCTGTTAGTCCTGTAGTTAACTCCTACATAGATCCAGATTTTTTTTGGATCTTTCTGCTTGTCCATAGAAAGATCAGATGTGCTAATTCAGTCAATCCTCACCTGGTCAATGTCAAGCAACATTTTTAGAGCTCTTTTTCTCAGAATGTTTCTATAATTTTGTCAATAAAATTGAGCTGCAAACATTGTTTGAACAGCTCTAATTCAGTAAGGGTATCACTGGGTGCCCAATCCATAATGAGGTTTCTGCGATCTGTGATTCAGCCTTAAAAACATTTAAGCTGAGTATCCTGACTTTGTGGCGGTGGAAATGAAAACTGTTTCTCCCTTCATAACAAAGACTTAGCAGCTAATGTCATAAGAGACTGTTACTTATGTATCAACTGTCAGGAACAGAGCGTTCTAGGCTTCTATATTGCATTACACTGGCTTTGTATCCCAGCTCAAAAGCAGACGTCAGCTATTTTATTTTAGTTGAAACAATCTTTATTGTGAAAGAACTTATGTTCTGGTCAAAATAAACTGTTTTTTCTTGGCCATTAATGCTTTACTACAAATCTGCACATCTATCTGTACTCACAAAAATTGTTGTTGCTTAAGAGTGAGCAACTCTCCCTTTGTTCGAATTCTTTGTTATCCAGAGCTTTTGTCGAGTTAGTTTTCAACTCATTTTCCAAACATTTGCTAAAAAGGTATTAGATTATTTTAAAGATGGTTACTGCAGCTATCATTGTGTGTGTTTATTTCTAACAGGGTGTTTTACCTGATGTAGCAACAGTTATATTATCATCCTTAACATAAACTGAACATGGATATTGTGAGATTGAAGAATCCAACAGATGTTTATTGTAACTAACTATTATGTAGAAACATTACACACTTCAGACAGATAGGTGTCAGGGCTAATATCAAGCTATTAGGTTACAACTAGGGAGCATGTTTCCACTAGATTGTCATGCTTCAAGTCATCCAAGATGAGATCAAGCATGAGATCTTTATACCTTCAGGTCACATGCTATAACACAGTATTGATATCGTAAGCATGACCCTTAAATGTTTAATGACATACTAAACATGAGACAACAACATGGGCTACTTAATTGTGATAAACCAACTGATAGATTGAGTTAGAGATAGAAGGAACTGCAGATGCTGGAGAATCTGAGATAACAAGGTGTAGAGCTGGATGAACACAGCAGGCCAAGCAGCATCAGAGGAGCAGGAAGGCTGACGTTTCGGGCCTAGACCCTTCT